TGTGTGTGTGTGTGTGTGTGTGTTTGTGTTTGTGTTTCTATTAAATCCATACCGTGGTGATGACTGGCTGAGCAGCTCCTCCCTCACACTGATTTGTTGCTGTGGAGCGACGATCACGCCAGCACAAATATTCAGACGAGGGAATTTAGAGCCCCTCATATTGAAAGTGAAACTGCCTCCTGTGGTGTTCCTCTGCCTCCCTGCCCCCCCAGCTCTCCTTCACCTGTTGCTCTTCAATGGGAACCATGGAAACAGTGCAATCCTGAGGCAGCTCTGAGCCAATGAGCAGCTGTTCCAGTAGCACTTGCCGCCGGTTGCGGCTCGGCTCATCTCCTCAGCAGAGGCTGGCAAGAAGCTGGAACATTAATTGTTTGGAGTAATTACTAATGTCAAAACAGTATTGTTACATCGCGGGCAGCTTTTCCCTCAGGCAGCGGCTGCAGGCTCAGTGGACGCAGCTGTAGCTTTATCCAGTCATGGTTCCTGAGATAATGAAGATGATGTGATGAGGAGGAATATGTCAGAAAATATAAGTCTGGTCATGGACTGTGTTTTTCTTCCTAAATCAACACTGACTGTCTCCTACTACCAACTACATACATATATATATATACTGTATATGTACACCTGTTCAACAGCCAATAGGCCAATCACATGGCAGCAACTCAATGCATTTAGGCATGTAGACATGGTCAAGACGATCTGCTGAAGTTCAAACCGAGCATCAGAATGGGGAAGAAAGGTGATTTAAGTGACTTTGAACGTGGCATGGTTGTTGGTGCCAGGCGGGATGGTCTGAGTGTTTCAGAAACTGCTGATCTACTGAGATTTTCATGCACAACCATCTCTAGGGTTTAGAGAGAATGGACCGAAAAAGAGAAAATTTCCAGTGGGCGGCAGTTCTCTGGGCCAAAATGCTTTGTTGATGCCAGAGGTCGGAGGAGAACGGCCAGACTGGTTGGAGCTGATAGAAAGGCAACAGTAACTCAAATAACTACTTGTTACAACTGAGGTATGAAGAAGAGCATCTCTGAACGCACAACACGTTGAACCTTGAAGCAGATGGGCTATAGCAGCAAAGACCACACTGGGTGCCATTCCTGTCAGCTGAGAACAGGAAACTGAGGCTACAGTTCGCACAGGCTCACCAACATTGGACAATAGAAGATAAAAAAAACGTTGCCTGATCTGATGATTTCTGCAGCGACGTTCGGATGGTAGGGTCAGAATTTGGCATAAACAACATGAAAGTATGGATCCATCCTGCCTTGTGTCAGTGGTTCAGTCTGGTGGTGGTGGTGGTGTAATGGATCTGGGGGATATGTTCTTGGCACACTTTGGGCCCCTTTTCTACCAATTGAGCATCAGCCACAGCCTACCTGAGTATTGTTGCTGACCATGTCCATCCCTTCCCATCTCACAGTGAACCCATCTTCTGATGGCTATTTCCAGCAGGATAACGCGCCATGTCACAAAGCTCAAATCATCTCAAACTGGTTTCTTGAACATGACAATGAGTTCACTGTACTCCAATGGCCTCCACCGTCACCAGATCTCAATCCAATAGAGCACCTTTGGGATGTGGTGCAACGGGAGTTTCACATCATGGATGTGTAGCTGACAAATCTGCAGCAACTGCGTGACGATTGATCAAGTCAATATGGACCAAAACCTCTGAGGAATGTTTCCAGCATCTTGTTGAATCTACACAACGAAGAATTAACGCAGTTCTGAAGGTAAAAGGGGGTCCCACCCGGTACTAGCAAGGTGCACCTAATAAAGTGGCCGGTGAATGTATATCTGTAGTATATCTGACTCCTCTGAGTCACGGAGCAACAAATGTGGATTAATCCGCCACTGAAAATAGTATCCAACAAACACACGCTTTCCTCCTGTTTGTTTGACAGTGAGCGTCTGTCCTGCAGGTCAGACACATTGTTGAATCTATGAGCTTTGTTTATGAAAACCAGTCTGTCATCCTTCAGCTCATTCAGTGACACACTGACATGTGGTTTACATGATCTGGTCATGATGACAGTGTTTCAGGTGCAGAAAATCAGAGTTGTCATTTCACCTATAGATGTAGTGGCGTGCAGCAGCCTCTTTGCTCACTACCATTGGTGCAGTTTGTAATAGCAGTTATTACCCACAAGTCCCCAATTTATTCAACAGCTTCATGATAATTTGTGGCATTTACCTGGACCCCAGGTTGGTGGGACTCTGTAGATCTCTGGTAGGTAACAAGGGACTCCTCAGGCGCCAAGGGGCAGGCACCTAAATGAGCTCCTCTTATTCGCCAAACGTTTTCCTGTCTCTGAACAGTGCCCGCCCCCTGCATTTGAGACTCGTAGCGGAAGATTGAAACTGTTATAATTATTGACCTGTGTTTGTGCTACTAATTTATGCAAGAAAAGATTATTTGTGAGAAAATATGTTTTACAGATGGGCAACTCTCATTGCATGAATTCACATACTGATTTGCGGATGTGCATATTTTGTCCATGATTCACATTATTTGACACGGGTGTGTAAATGTGTTTCATTGCAGCAACTGTAGCAAAAATGCTGCTTATGAGTTTCTTAATTTGTGATTCGTAAAACAGGATTTGAGAAGTAACTGTTGTGTTGTGCTTGTGGGAGAGAGGAAAGATCGACAAGTCTGCAACTCCGAGAGCATCCTTTCTCTGACCGAAAATTTACTGATACATATGTGCCTATTTTATACAACTACTAATTCCACTTTATTCTTAATAAAATGCTAATTTGAATAGATGATAATGAATATTGTGTTACCTGCTTTTCCAGACTCACACAGATCCGTGTGGTTGATCGTCATGATTGGTTCGTTATGTGTAAATTAAATCAGTGTATTAGAGCGTTGTGTTGGTCAAGCTCTGATGAACTTCACAAACACCACAGAGGAAGAAACGGGAGCTGAGACTGAAACACACTTTATCCTCTGCTATTTACACCACCATGATCAGAGTGACACACACAACGCACACACACACACAAGCACCACTTCTGTGCAGCAGATGAAGCAGCTGCTTTGACTGATAAGAAGAACAAAAGGGGTTTAAAACAGAACAACAGGTTTCTGTGTTCGCACAACACACACAACAACCTGTGTGTCTCTACACTTATGAGGACCCTCATTGACATAACTGCTGTTCATGGTTAAAACTGCAGATTTCCAAAGGCACTTCTGTTCTGACAGAAACCTCACTGCATCTGTATAAACAGCACATGTAATTAAATTGTACAAGGATGAGCTATGAAGTGGTGCATCATGGGAGAATTATTTTCTGTATTGGCTGAAAACACCGTGGAGGAAAAAAGAAAATAGTGTTTGTGAATTTTACTTATTACTATTCAGCTGAACTATGAAGCAGGTGGACTCAGACATGAGGCGTCAGTCTCTCCTGTGATTAACGTGATATCGAGGGGGCGTTTTAAAATGCCGAACCCAACAGACGAAAGTTTCAGTTACAGAATCAACATCAACAAAAACCATAAAACCCAGAGATGTTTGAGCTGAAAACGACTTTAGATCGAGTTGTTCATGTCTCATTGTGTGTGTTAATTTACTGGGAATTTGAAGATCTGTGGAGGATAACATAGTCGTAGTAATAAATTGAATATAATCAGAGATGATATAAAGTTAATGAGCCAGTGTTTCAGACTCTGACCATTCATTTACAGTCTGACTAACATAAGTTTACAGGACAGAGTTGCAGCAGTTTGCAGTCAGGGTTTGTATCTTTGACGTGATTCATTTGTGCAAAATAAAAATTTGTGCTTGCTTTTGTTTTTCAGAAATGAAACATGACATTTTTTAAAAGACATTCCCTGCAGAGCTCAGTAATTCAGTACACTATATATTTAGTACACGTTCAGAAATGTCATGGACATAATTTGCACGTGGATATACTGTAATTTCCATTTCCTTTTCCAACTGCCAGATTTCTGCACAGGCGTTCGGGAACGCTCGAACATTCAGATATGTTAAGAAACGTTCAGACATTCAGAAACGTTCAAATGTTCAGAAACGTTCAGAAACGTCAAATGTTCGGAAACGTTCGGAAACGTTCAGAAATGTTGGCTCAATGACCGTTGGCGTCAGGTGTGTATCGACCACGTCGACGTGTTTGAAATGCTGCTGAACAGTGACATCAGTGTGTGTAGAACCAATGAACTACAATAATCAAAAATGAGAATGATGTCAGAGTGTGGTAGTTGGCAGGAAACTGACTCAAACACCTGTTCCTGGTTCTGGTGACTCCAGCTGCAGATGATTCTGTAACATCCTCTTATTACAGCTTATTGCTTCTCCTGCTTTTTTTTTTTTTTTTTTGCTGCAGTGATTCTGTTTTCTCTTCAGCATCAGTAAATACAATCTCCTCTTCTCCGTCTCTCACCTCCTCACACTGTCACCTCCCCTCATCCCCCTCCTCACCTCCTCCCCCCTTTTATTCTCAGCCTTTTCAAAGCCTGAAGCTGCTGCTGCCCCTCCTCCATCTGGGTTTACGTAGTCGCTATACTGAGTGTGTGTGTGTGTGTGTGTGTCTTTCATATCACTAGGCTCACCAACTGCCCCCACACACTTACACACGTTTCTCCCCAGTGTGCACACACACACATATCCAGCCTTTCTATTCGCTCCTCTTCTCTAACATCCCTGTCTCTCCCTCTTTCTCTCTCTCATCTCTCATCCTCTCTCTTGCTCGCCACTGTGTGTGTATGTGCGTCTCTGAGTTGGTGTGTGTGTGTGTCGCGATGCGTTCGCCGGTGAACAGGTGTTCAGCACAGTCAGTCAGAGCCGGAGCTCCAGAGTAGGGAGCTGATAGAGAGACGCACACACTCACTCTCTCTCTCTCACACACATACACATGTACCCAGGACTGAGCATCACATCTGGGGGTTTGCCGGAGTCTCTTCACTCCCCCCCCCCATCCCCCTCCCTCCCTCCCTCCCACACACACACACACTTCACCCCGGAGATGATCCAGCGCTCCGGAGAGCCGGAGGCAGCCAGGAGGCATCAGTCAGAGAGACTGAACCCAGCGGAGGAAGCTCAGATGCTGGGCTAGATCTGCTGCTGAGGAGCTTCTCAGTCCTCCACCTCCAGGGTTTCCTGTGAGTACCAGACTGTTTGTGTGACATCTGTAGAGATCGTGACAGAATTTAAAAAATATTTCATCGCTTGGAAGCAACTTTTTGCGCGTCACTTCTGAGCTGACAGGTGTCAGGTGCTCAGGTGTGGTCTCTGTGCTGCAGATTAGTTCGGTGTTCGGGTTCTGCTGCAGCTCAGCTGGACCAGGATCCATCCGAAGCCGAATCGGACTGTTGGCATCCACGTTCTTGTCTTTGTCGAATTTTTTTGCTGCAGTCCAGCATGAAGTCAGACTGCAGCCGCGTCTGTCAGTCCCTGCTGGAGAAGACATTTGATCAAATCGAGTGAAATTCATCCGTTCACAGCAGCGTGATAGAAGCAGAGAGATGTGGATCATTGAGATGACGCTTTGAAGAACTGTCTCTGGTGACAGTTTGACACGACGAAGGGAGGAGGAAATTCTGACTTCAGGCTGCGGCTTCTTTACAGTCAACGTTTGATTTGTGGACCCTGAACACGGGAGGAGGAGGAGGAGAAGGAGGAGGTCGATCGAAGGCACGAGAACTTTCTGAACATCCTGTCTCGTTCTTTCAGATCCCTTTCCTTCTGTTCAGGTGGGATTTCACCTGTTGATGGATGAGAGAGTGTTTCCAACTGTGGATTTGATGTCTTATCCATCCCAATCTTCCTGCGTGTGTGTGTGCGTGTGCGTGTCAGGTCCGACAGTAAGATCTCTCGGTTGGCTCAGAGGTGGAACCAGAGACCGGCTGGAGATGCTCTGATCAAAGACTTGAGGCCCCTGTTTTACACGGGAACCCCCCGATCCTCACTCAGTCTGGACAGGTGAGGACACACACACACACACACACACACACACACACACACACACACACATACACATACACAAACTCTTGGTTATTCTCTGTGTTTGGTGTTAGAGCTCCTCTACGGTTTTGTTGGATGTGAAACTCTCATGAACATCTGGTTCTTTGGTAAAATCAAGAAGCCTGTGGACATAGAGAGGTCAACTACGATTCCCAAAGTGCATTTCAGGAAGAAACACCCAATCACAAAAGAACTTTGCAGACTTTGTAGAAACGTGCTGCAATTTAAACGTGTTATTTCTGGATAAATCCTGCAGCTGTGACTCAATGTTGAAGATCCGGTTCTGATTCACGTCTCTGACCGGCTTCTTCTACATAGCAACTGCAGCTGAGGCTCATGGGTACTGTAGTATGTAGAGATATCCTCCCAAGTGACCAGCGAACCAAACCTCTAGTGTGGTCTGATTTACTGTGATGGACAATACTATAGGATCCTGCAGAGTAAAGGATTATGGGAAGAACGTAAAACAGAGTGTAGCATCCATGTTTTTAGAGTGGGTGTGGTTAGTTTAACCCACGGTTAAATTAGTTTAACCAGTCACTTAACAGCTGTAGGTGTTCAGCGACCTGTTGACCTGAACTATGTCTCAGGTGTTCACATATTTGAGTTTAATATGTGACAGCCATTCAGAGGGAAGCATCTCTGCTCTTAGTGATGATAACAGGTGTCATATCATATGTAAACATTATATACAGTGTGGGTGTTTGCGTGCGCGTGTGCATTTGAGTGCGTGTATGGGGGCGGGGGCTGGTTGTCTGGTGTGTGTGTGTGTGTGTGTGTGTGTGTGTGTGTGTCAGTCAGTCACAGTCTGCTAACTGACCTGCTGAACTGGGAGGAGTGTGTAGATGAACAGCATGTGTTGTTGTGTGTAACAGCAGCCAATCACACGGCTGCAGGGTCTCAGACAAACTCTGCTTCATTAGCACTGCGGGGGGGGGGGGGGGGGGGGGGGGCTGAGGCTTTTATAACTGTACACTGAGTCTTATACTGTGTTTCTTGTGAGCAAATCTCATGTTAAGGCCGAGTCCCAAGTTCACTTCCCGAGTTCACTCTTCATTCATTCTTGTCACTGCTGAATTCTTCCTAAAGACAAACATGTTCTGCAGAGGTAAACAGAGCTGAGCTGGCTCCTCAGTTGGCCATTTATTTTATTATGAAAAAATTCTTAATTTACCCAGAATTTATTGTACTACAGTCCCACTTGAGATTGTGAAGAATTTAATTGCTTTGTACAACAGATGAATTAGTCTATCTGAAGTCTGACGGTTAGTTATATCTAATCCAGAGTCAGAGTCTGTTCCTCATTCAGAGGATTTACTGTAACTAACCACCTGCAGAGTAGATGGTCCACTTGCTGTTTACATCAGCTCACACATGCTCAGTCTGTGTGAATGGTCACGTGACATGTGACACATTTTCAGGTGTGGTAGTGTGGACGCAGCCTGAGGTGGTTTTAAAAGAAACTTGTTAAAAAAAATAATAATAATGTGCAGTTGTGTTTTTTTTCCTCCGTTAACAACTGTGTCAGCTGCCTCCTGTGTATTTACTGTCAGACTGAACAGTGAATTCAGCAGCACAATTATAAAAGCAATTTGTTCTTTCTTAATAATTTAAAGCCTCTCTCTCTCTCTCTCTCTGTCTCTCTCTCTCTCTCTCTCTCTCTCTCTCTTTACCATCAGTTTGAAAGAATGATATTTCTAAGCTGAAACCAATTATGTGTAACAATCCCAGTTGGTAAAGAGTTTCATCACACACACACACACACACACACACACACACACACAGAGCTATAGGTGAATCATAACTGGCTGTGTTGCCTCTCAGTGGGCATTAACTCACATTTAAGTGCTTTAAAATCCCAACCAAACGTCGGCTCAGCAGCTGTGAACAGATTTTTCAGTTTTTAGTTTTAATTTTGCAAGGTTTACAATGTTTATGATCATTCATGGGTAAAGTTCATAAATGCAACGTTCAGTCCACAAACAGTTTGATCAAATGTAAAAGAATAATTGATAGAATCACCTCCACATAGTTGTATCCCTCCTCCACTCAGACTAGTTCCAGGTTACATCCCTGTTTATCCAGAGTCATAGAACGTATCAACCATCTGTGTGTGTATATTGTCATTTTCTGTGTGAAGTCTTTAGTTACGGCCAAAACGTGTTTTGTGAGGTCACACTGACCTTGACCTTTGACCACCAAAGTTCATCCTTGAGTTCAAGTGAATGTTTGTGTCAAATGTGAAGAAGTTCCATCAAGGCGTTACTGAGATATCTTGTTCACGAGAATGAGACGGACGGACAACTTGAAAACAAAATGGCTCCTGCTCTGACTGTCACCGGCACGGAGGAACAAGGAAAAACAAAGACATACTCGTTCTCTCTCTCCTTTCTGTTTAAAACCAAGATCAACACCCATTGCAATAAATTCTAAAACATGCTCCGTCTACCTCTGGAGTTCAAAACTACCTGAGTTCTCCTCCTGCGGCAGCGCTCCTATATCTCCATTTTGTATAAAATCTGATCTAACATCAGCTTATTAATCAAATCCGCACTCGGCTTTGACTCGCTGCAGAGGATGATCCACCTGGATCTGTCCAGGTCTGACGGTGGTCTCAGTGTGAGAAGAACCTTTCATCAGGGCTGTATGGATCGATCTCAGTCTGGTTCCTCCTCTGGGACCACTTTGCCAAGGTGGTGATTCTCTGAGGGGTAGACATGGATATTTATCTATTTATTTGTTTGTGGACTGGACCATAAATTTCATATAAATCATTGCACATACTTGTGGATCATCTCTCCACAGTAAGTGAGTTAGTGTGTGTGTGTGTGTGTGTGTGTGTGTGTGTGTGCGTGTGCGTGTGCGTGTGCGTGTGCGTGTGCGTGTGCGTGGGTGTGGGTGTGTGTTTGCCTGCAGCTGGTGGTTGCTCACCTGTGTGTGCAGGTGTGTAGAGCAGGTTCATTCACAGCTAACAAGGTGGAGGCACACCCATGATACTATCATACAGCAGCTCCTGTTAGCTCTGTTCCACCAGTCAGTTACACCTGCATCATTCTTATTAGTGTCAACACTAAACGATGTAAAAGACTTTTCTCTCATCCACTTCCTTTTCTACATACTGTTTGTCTTATCATCTCTATGTAAATCTGTATGTACATTGGACACAGGCAGTTAGCAGCTAAACTAAATTAGCGTCATCACCACCTCTGATCTGTTTCCAGCTCAGACTGATGGACAACGCAGTGTGAGAGAGCCAATCAGAGCCAACGGTTGTGTGAGGTCATGCTGGGCTAAGTGCAGAACAATCGGGTGAAGCAGCAGTTTTCATGTGGCGCCCGTTAATGATGAGAGGCTGCAGGTGTGTCGCGAGGAGTCAGGATAATGAGGCGTCGTATAAAGATGTTCTAATAACTAATCTGCTGCAGAGAACATGGTCTCATGTTCAGAGAGTGGAGACTCAGACTGAGTGAAGGACAATACACGTTCATACATCACACAGTGGAGGCAAACCTGTTCACCTCTGCCTGTGTGTATTACATTCAACTCAATTAGCCACATTTCATTGTTTTTATTCCTCCGGCAACAGTCAGAGGGGCAGCCATTTTGTTTTCAGGCTATCTCAGTAATGTCTTGACGGACCTTCTTCAAATTTGGCACAGACATTCACTTGGACTCCAGGATGAACTGATTAGATTTTCGCGGGGGCAAAGGTCAAGGTCACGGTGACCTCACAAAACATGATTTTGGCATTGTGAAAGAAAAATCTCGAGAACTCCTCAAGAGAATCCCTTCAAATTTGGAGTCAAGGAAAAACTGATTTGATTTTTGTGGCTAAAGATCAAAGGTCAGTGTGATCTCACAAAACACTTTTTAGCCATGACTCAAGACTTCACAGCAATTATGACAAAATTTTAGACAAATGGTTCATATTTTATATGACTGTGGATAAACAGGGATGTAACCTCAAACTAGTCTGAGTGGAGGAGGCAGACAACCGCGAGGAGGTGATTCTAGTTTTAATTAATTTTGAGGTTGTCAGTTTTATTTTAAACGCACTCTGAAATCATGAAATTAAATTTATCTTTCAATAAAATATAATACAACATAGTTGATGTATGAATGTGATGATGTCAATCCCCCCCTACCTCCTTTTTGACAGTCTTGTCATTTCAGTGTCATGTTGTATTCGTCCAGGTGTGATGTGGAGAATGAGAGAGAGAGCTGTTGGTGACAGGAGGTCATTTAGTCGGATGAAAAACTGAAGCAATCTCCTCTGACGATATGAGGATGAGGGCGAGAATGCTGACATGTCACAGCCGGTGGTTTTCTGATTCTCTCCACACTGAAGCCCTTTGATCCTACCGCCGATGTGTAGTTACCTCAGAGAGACAGAGACTGACGCTCCGTTCAGCCATTTTGACTCTTTATATTTGCCGCGGAGTATCTTCATCCTCATCCTAATAAGAGCTGTAGAGGTAGAATAAGAGGTGCCTCACCTAAGCTACTTGAATACAATCACGAACAATCCATACTGTCTTTCTACCAGTCAGAAGAGAGGAGGCTCTGAGCCTCTCTTCTGATTGGCTGACTGTTTTCTGAGTGATCAAATAAAAATATAGCAGATTTCAGCTGAAACACTCAAGAGAAACCAAATCCTGCAAGGCTGGATGGTGGGTCAAGGTGGGCGGGGCTTGGGGACTGCTTTGTTGTGAAATCACAAAGTTCCAGCTCGTTTTAAGTCTCAGTTTCTGGTGTCTGTGGATCATCAGTGAACAGCAGCTGACTCATGATTACATGTGTTGGACAGATGTTGATGACAAACCTGAGACCGAGCGGATCCTCGTCAGAGGTGTTGATGTCCAGAAAGTGACCATGGTCTAACTTTTCTTCCAGCAGGCGCCTCCCAGGTGTCATGACCCAGCAGATGCAGAACCTTCAGTTGTCCCAGACCAGGAAGTGCCCCGGTGGGCCAGCCTCCCCCAGCGCCGCCAAGCGCCTGTACCGGAACCTTTCGGAGAAGCTGCGAGGAAGCACCTCCTCCTTCGAAGATGCGTACTTCTTCGGCAAGACGGATCGCCTCCGCAAGGCCTCGGTGAGTTTAATGTGTGTGTGTGTGTGGTGGGGTTCATTAAAATATTAGTTTATTAATATATAATTAATTAATATGTGCTGTTTATAACATGAGTTTTTAGTCGACAGGTTGTAAACAAACAGCAGGTTCAACAGAGGTTCATTTTAATTTCTCACAAACTAATTAGTGTCTAACAAACATGGTCTGAAAGAACAGTGGCCCTTTAACCTCCAATCTGTACATTTGTGTGAAGTTGACCTGATGATTTAAGTGGATCAGCTCATTTTCCCACCCAGATGTTGAAACATCAGCTTCATGGACCCTGATGAACATCATGAACATCATAAACAAGGTTGTGTTGTCTGTAACCGTTGTGTTCGTCGTCAGCAGGGAGAAAAGAAAAACGTGTCTGTGGTCAGACTCTGAGGGGAAACCCTGTCTCTGAACAGACGGATCAATAACGATCTTGTTTGGAGCGTCACTAATTATGTTAACAGCAACGTCTTCAGGGCCTGAACCGTCCGCTCTGTCGTCCGTCACGTCTTTGATTCAATCTCAGAGCTGCTGCCTCGAGCTGTTTCTGATTTTCACGGTTAAATCATGAACGCCCCCTCCTGTTCTTCTTCAGCTGATTATTGGTCAATGATCAGAGGTGGGTTTGATGCCTTGCTCAAGGAGCGACACTCAGTCGCTGATGGAGACTTCTTCACTTTATCACCACTTCTCAGTCTCTTCTCCCTGTATCTGCTGCCATCATCACATCCTCAATGCTACCCTGAGATCCATTGTGTGTGACAGGTGTTTAAGGTTGTTGTGTGTGTGTGTGTGTGTGTGTGCGCGCTGTCCGGCTCTCTCTCTGCCAGCCTGCTGACATTTACAGAGCAGTCACAACAACAGACATGAAAGAAAGAGGCAGACGGGGGAGGAGGAGGGTGAAGAGGAAGAGGGGTGGGGGTCAGTGTACGTTACTGCACATCTGCAGTAGTAGAAGAAGACGAGATGTGTCATTAACGTCAGGGTAAAATAGACGGCTCATTAACTGATAAACTATATTTTTAATTTGATATTTAATCCATTCATTGAAATGGACTGCACATGAGGTCTAGTCTTAGAGACCACTCAAAGCTCTTAACAATACATGCCACATCAACTCATTCACTCACACTTTCACTCACACATTCACACACTCATTTACATACTCATTCACTCACACACTGATGGAACAGCCATTAGAGGTAGTTTGTGTTTCAAGACTCTAGTTAAACAAACAGAAAATTCATGTATAAATACACATACAATAAAAATAATATGGCAGTGGACAAACTATTAAGACTTTCTTTTCTTTTCGAGTAACAGTTCAGAGTTCAGTATCTTGACGGGAGGAGCCAGGAATCGAACCACCGACCTTCTGATTAAAGGACAACCTCCTCTACATGCTGAGCCCCGGCTCAATTATTCATTTACTGGTCTGTTAATATGACGATGATCGGAGGAAGCAGGTTGTTGTCTGCTCACTACGGCAGACATCAGACACTCTCATCACAGAACATCCAGATGTTTTCAGAGAAACATCTGGAAGAACCTACTGTCCTCTATCTTCTGAGCACACAGGCTCAGTCAGAGAACAGCGAGTGGAGACCAAACACGGAGCTAAAAGAGAGAGACACTGGACTGAGATTCATCAGGTGACACAGACACCACAACACATCTGTAGCTGTTACAGATGTGTTGTGGTGTCTATGTCACCTGATGTGGAGATGAACAGCTGATATGTTAGTGTCGTATGGTGTAGAAACAAAGTCAAGTGTCTGGCACAACTTCATCTTCTTCCAAGGTTCATGGAAACGGGAGGTCAGAGGTCAGAACTCCAGCACCACCTGCAGTAAACAGGCACACACACACAAACACAAACACAAACACACACCTGGCTGTATGTCTTGTAGGAAGCTTTGTAGTTTGAGATGTAACACAGATTGAACCTGGACTCTACTCTCACGGAGCTGCTGCTTTTCTCTGCAGCTCTTCAAGGAGCTGAAGCTCCGGAGTGACAGTCACACACAGAATCTCCTCCCTGCTGTTGTGACATGTCTGCCCACAGAGGAGAAATAAACAGAGATTTGTTTCCTTTCAGAGGAGCTGATTGTTCCTGTCGAGCAATTTTACATCACACTTACTGACATCTGTGTGAGAGTAGATTTAAATAAAACTGCAGTTCAAAGTGTAGCTGTGGAGGAATTATAGATTTTACATCATGATTCCTGAAATCTTCTCCATTTCTATGGGTTATTCAGTGTGACAAGGGTTTGTTGTTTTTTTTAATTCCTCTGCACAGATGACGGTCAGAGCGGCAGCCATTTTGTTTTCGGGTTTTCCCTCTGTCCCATACTAGTGGATAGGAAATCTTAGTAACGCCTTGAGGGAACAAATATTCACTAGTACTCAAGGATGATCTTTGGTGGTCAAAGGTCAAGGTCAGTGTGACCTCACCAAACACGTTTTGGCCATAACTCAAGACTTCAAACAGAAAATGACAAAATATCACACAAATGGTTCATATTTTCTATGACTCTGGATAAACAGGGATGTAACCTGAAACTAGTGTGAGTGGAGGAGGTGATTCTAGTTTCAGAAGTGAAATGATATCACAGCTGCTTCAGTCCGGAGCAGTCTTTGTTTGTTTGAGCATCTTTTTCTGCAGTAATATCTGTTTTATGATTCAGACGGACAGATGGTCTTCGGGACGTCTCAGTCAAATCAGCTTGTGTGGAAATGTCGCTCAGACCACCACTGAAATTGTTTATCAGTGTCAAGTTTAAATTGTTCAATTATCACTTTCAGAATTAATAATAATTTGATAAAATGTCTGCTGGATCATTTCCTCATCAACTCTGATGATTGTCTTGAGTCTGAAACCTGCTTTGTTTACCAGCTCTTAGTCTTCACTCCCGTCTCTGCCGGTGAATCGCTGCAGGTGTTGACGTGGTAACATCCACATTGATGGGAATGTGTATTCCGTCACCCATGTGCACGTAAATCCTCGTGCACGTGTGCGAGACAAACAAAGCGGGAACTTAGAGCCTGTTTCCTGTTCATCCATATGATTTGTAGTTTTTCCTCAGTCTAGACCAAATGAACTGAACTACACACATGAGAGCAACAACCGGAGTTCATTATAACAGACTTGGTTATACAGCTTTGTTACCATGGTGACCGTGGCTCTTGTTTCCTCCAGACAATGCAGGGCAGTGACTGTATCTTCGAGGCAGTGGAGCAGCAGGACCTGGACGCGGTGCAGATTCTTCTGTACCAGTTCTCGGCCGAGGAGCTGGACCTGAACACGCCCAACAGCCAGGGCCTGACGCCGCTCGACATTGCCATCATGACCAACAACACGCCCATCGCCAAGCTGCTGCTGAAGGCCGGCGGCAAGGAGAGTCCGCACTGTGAGTACGCCACAGCTGGTTCTGTTGTGTTAATGCTCCACACGTCTTCTCCCACCGGCACCTCCGATGGAGGGACAAACAAATGTACAGGGGAGGAGCCTTGCGGGAGACCTGAAGACACTTTACCACCTTAGCTGAGTGCGACAGGCGTGAGGTTAGCTGATCTAAAAGTTCAAGAGAGACTTTCCTGGTTCTCAGAAGAAGTCTCCAGAGTTGACAGAATTGACCAGGCGAGCCCTTTATAACATAAGATAGATCCACCATGTTTGATTTGGAGGAATTACATCCTTCCACTTCAGTAGAATTAGACGACGTTCAGGATGAAGAAGTCACTGGGGCTCATTCAAAGATTAGACATCAGAGGATCCTCCAGAGTGAGGCTGTAACATGACATAGGTCGAGGAAATCTGTCATTTAATGTGTATTTTAATCCTGTAAATGTTGTGCAGAGCAGAGAGTTCGTCCCTGTGTTCAGTCCTGTCACGGAAACAAATCACATGTGATCAACTGTGTGTTAAAGTCTGTGAACAGAGTGTTTCAGCAGGTTAAAGCTCAGCTGCAGCGATGAGACATGAACTGAGTCACAGCCTGAAATCTGCTACTGCTATATAAAATATATAGTCTGTACTGTGTGTGTGTGTGTGTGTGTGTGTGTGTGTGTGTGTGTGTGTGTGTGTGTGTGTGTTCTCTGTAGCGTGAGTGATGCTGTGGCTCAGACAGGGCCTGTGTTTGTGTCTGCTGCCCGGTCTGGGTCTCCTCTACCTGGACGTGAATGAGCCTGCTATCCCCCCCCCCACCTCCTGCAGTACCCCCACCCCACACATCACCCCCCTGCCCACACAGACACACACACGGTTTTTCCCTCCATCAGTCCCCCTGTTGTCCTCCATAAACCCTCCAAAGACAGGTGGTTCTTACCTTACCCCTGAAAACCCCCATTAGCCCCTGCTCTGTGTGTGTGTGTGTGTGTGTGTGTGTGTGTGTGTGTGTGTGTGTGTGTGTGTGTGAGAAACAGTGGCCACTTTACAGCAGGCCGGGCCTCCTGCGTGACTCCCCGCTGAACAGCTTTAACAAGGTTTGTCGTTTAATGGTTTAACTTTTCCAATGATGCGTGTAACGCCGGGGCAATTACAGCTAAGTGATTTATTGTGCCGCAGGGCCACGGCGGCGAGAGCTCTCCAAACAGCGGCCTGGATTCTGGGCGGCGGTACAATCCCATCCTTGTAAACAAACACAGAGTAAACACTGCTGCTGTTTTCCCTCCTGGGGCCTGCTGCTCTCTGTTTATGTCATTCCTCAAGTGCCAAGTAAATCAGTCAGCCGGAGCCTGACAGCCTTGTGTGTGTGTGTGTGTGTGTGTGTCTGAGTGTGTGTGTGTCTGAGTGTGCGCGCGCACATTTTACTTACAGTTAAACTTTCAGAGAAACACACTTTAAAAGCAAGAATAACATCTCTCTACAAATTCAGAAAAAACATCAAAATAAAAAAAACCAAAACAACAAAATATGAAAGATGAAACTGACTAAAACCAACAAGTAGAAGTTCTGCATCCAAACAGTTTTTATACTAAAAGAATAAAATCAATGAAAACATGAGGTTAGAGTCAAATTTCTGACGTTCTAATGATTAAAGACGTGTTGATCCTGACACAGGAAGAACAAACTCATCGTCATAATAATGATATTGATAGTAATAACAATAATAAAAATAATAATAATAATAAGCGGTTATTTATATAGCACCTTTCAAAACACAGTTACAAAGAGCTTTACAAGACAAGATAAAATGGAGGACGAACAATAAAAATTAATGATAAAAAAACTGATTTAAAGATATAAGAAAAGTTGAGGTTCAGTAAAAATGAGATAAACCAGTCTATGATTAAATTAATCGATAAAATATGAAACAGGAGGATGACTTAATATAATAATATTTATTTGATTTTAGACGTTAGGAGTAGATTCTGATTTTCTAGGTTCAAATCCAACTGGGGCCCTTTGCTGCAGGTCGTCCCCTCTCTCTTCCCTAACTTTCATCTCTCTCTCTCTCTCTCACTGTCCTTGTCATAATAAAGCAAAAAAAAAACTTCAGGTGAAACTTTTATATTTTATTCTAAACTGAAACTTTTCCAACATGTTGAAGTGGAACATTTCTGTTACATCAGCTGTTGGTGAACGAAAATAAACTCATTTAAAAGTTAACTATAAATAAACTTTATATACAAAATCTAGAAGATTAGAGCCTGTGATGTGAGCATGTGTGTATGTGTGTGAGTTAATGTGTCTCCCTGAGCTCACCTACGTTGCCTGCGTGTTAATTTATGAGGCCCCTCGGGGCCCCTGGGGGGGGGGGGTTGGTTTATATTTAGACCGCCCATTCAGTCAGACAATGTGGGTTCTGTGTGAGCCCCCACCCCACCCCCCCCCACCCCCTCAGACACAGCAGCCTGTTAATTTACATCCTCTTCAATTAGCCGCCGTTAGCAGCTAGCCGGGCTCTGACAGGCCGAGCTGAGCAGGAAGTGACACCTGGAGGTTTAATATGGCTGCTGGCTTCAAACCTCTGTTTGTTTCTGAGAGTTTGTGGAAACTTTATTTAAAACTTCAGTGGAGAACAAAATGTTTCAAACATGAAGGAAAACTGTTTTTTAAGTCGACTTGTGTCTTTTGAATTATTGAGGTGGACTTCAGAAGTATTGATGAAACTGATAATGATTGTAAAGAAGTTATAATGAATATTCTTATATAGACAATTGATCATGACTCGTGTACAGTGTTGAATCAGCGGCACAGTATAGAGCCGTAATGGGAGGTTTAAGGTTAGGTTTTGTATAGTTGTCGTTGCAAAATGTGCCAATATTAAGGGCCATCTGTGGCCCCCTTTTCCCCTTGAAGGCCCCCAACATTTGCCTGGGACCAGAGATTAATCATTTGTAATCTGAGCCTCAAACATTTCACTTCTAACAACTGAACACTCAAGAGAAGCTTTAAACTGATTCACTCTGAGAGATGTTTCATAAAAACCAAGAATAAAACAGGAAATAAAAAAAACAATCCTGATGCTGTTAAAGACACTTAAACGTCTTCAGCACAAATTTAATTTGAATTGAAAATAAATAAATACACATTACATGTGTTACATTATTTTTTGATTTGACTTCTGTCTTTCTTCAGTGATATTTGAATTTAAGATGTTGTTTATTTTTCTTTTTTCCCTCATAAATCATCTACAGCTACATAGAGGATAAAAACATAAGACTTAAAACACACTGGCTGCGTCGCAGCTACGGAACGTCTTGCTTTTCATTTTGGCGCCCATGTTAAGGGGTTAGAGCGACACACTCACCTCGCAGCTGCATCACATGATCTAGATCAGTGGTTCCCAACCTTTTCCAACTCACGGCCACTTGAAATTCTCAAAAATGACGGATGTGATCTGTTGGACTGAGATAGAAAACAAGTATATGATGCGGTCCGCCTGGTGACAACATTAAAGTTTCTGTGATTGGCTTATCATAGTGATAGGTCTTAATAAGAGAAAAAAACAATGTTTAAGCATTTTTAATTCAATTAAAGATCGTTTCATTTGAAAACTTTTAAAAACTTCAATTATTTTATTCATTTTTAATTTTTTTTCTAAAGTAATTACATCTTTTCACTTAAATTTTTCTGTTTTACAAATGATTTGTGGCCCACTTGCAATACCTTTGCCTGTGAACCCCGGCATGTCTATTTTTCACATGTGATGTGTCTCCAAGCAGAAACAGTCGGAGAAAAGACCTGATGATGTCATAGTGACATCATACCAGCAACAGACCATAAAACTGACTCCTATGCTATAGTTTCTATGTCTAGACTGAATCTGAATATGACACAGACATGATGAAATATAAATATATTTTTTAACCATTTTAGCAGCTGCCTGTGGAGACAGAGACATTTTACTGACATTTTCTGTCAAAAATAAATCAGAAATTAATTTATGATGAAAAGAAATCTAACATTCAGTAACTTGCAAATTCTGTGTAGAGAGTTAGAGCTGCAGCAGGTGTGAACACACAACCCAGGCAGAGTGATCCCAGTGTAAAGTGAGAACTTCATCAATACACCAATCAACCATGTCAGCTACCTTCATCATTCACCATTCATTGTGTCTGCAGAGAATGACACTGATTTAATACGTCTCAGATCACACACACAGATCGTTTTTCTCTCATCATCATCATCATCCAGGATCATTATCACTGAATAAAGTTTAATCTGGTCTCATGATCAGCATGACCAATCATGTTCAATGTAGCGAGGAGCAGCTGAGGCGATTGCTCCTGATTGGCTGTTTCAGTCAGTCAGTTCAGTCAGAGATGTGTTGCAGCCGCACACACTCTGAGTGTGTGTGTGTGTGTGTGTGTGTGTGTGTGTGTGTGTGTGTGTGTGTGTGTGTGTGTGTGTGAGTGAGTGAATGAGGGTGTTGTTGTGTGCTGCTGTTTGTGTGTTTATGCTGCTGTCACAGGCCATGACTAAGAACTGGACCGGAGAGAGAGTGAGTGAGCATGCAGTAAAGCAGCAGTGTTTGTTGAGTTGGGTAACAGACAGATGTGGAGGAACACACACAGAGACGACTTAATACCTGTCCTGTGTTCCTTTGTTTACCTCCTCATGTCGTTTCCATGACGACAAGCTCACACACGTTAGATCATGTGATACACTCACAGTCTGAATGAAGAGAGGAGCATGAGGCTGCATGATGCTACTGATGACACCACTGATGACATGTGTGTGTGTGTGTGTGTGTGTGTGTGTGTGTGTGTGTGTGTGTGTGTGTGTGTGTGTGTGTGTGTGTGTGTGTGTGTGTGTGTGTAAACACAGTTAAGACACTGAAAATACATTTAGGGCTGAACAATGTGCAAAACAATCATGTTGTGGTATGAGCCACGATTTCAGTGTGAATGGACATTTTTCATTTTCGCTAAACAAAATATAAAAGTGATTTTTTAAAAGTGATTTTCCTCCTGGTTTCCATCAGTTGGACATTTTTAGTTTTATCTGCCTCCACTCTGATACAGTACAGGTGAATTAAATTTAGTGTTTGATATTACAGCATTTTAAAACAATTTAAATGTAAATGTTCACCATGATCTTTGTGCAGAAACAGTTCCCTGTGTGATGGGGGTAAAGGACTGTTTTATAACAGACTGCCTCCCTCATCCCTCCTCCCTCCCCTCACTGACTCCCCTCTCATGGATGTCCAGTGTTGGTCCTTTTATGGTCACATGTTTCCATCTTTTCGGCCTTGATAAGTTCTTCTTTTGAGCTCTCACATGGATGCTGCAGCGTTTCCTTTTGTCTGCTGTAAAAAAAAACAGACTCGGCCTCGGCCCCTGGCGGCTTTCATGGAGCTGAATCTGCAGCTTTGACTCCCCCACAAACTCATTTTTCCTCTAACAAGAGACACGACTCGACATCCAACCCACGAGGAAGCTCAGAGGAGGAGGAGGGTCCTCTGTGTCTTCAATCTGTTTTCTCCCAAACCTCACACAAACATCATGTGTAGAAACCACATCTTAAACAAAGACGTCTCTATTTCATTTATTCTGGATTTAATCTGGATCTGAGACAGTGGAAATGACAAATGTAAACGTGGCGTTGGTCTGACAGGCTCCTGGTTGTGTGTGTGTGTGTGTATGTTGTAGTCGTGAGCGTGGAGAGTCGGGAGGCCCACCTGAGCTCCCTGGTGGTGGAGGCGGAGCGGCGGGCGGCGGACCTGGCGGCTCAGGCTCAGAGAGACGGCCTCTCTTTGGAGGCCTGCCACAAGGACAAACAGCTGAGAGCCTGGGAGTGGAGGAGCAAGCTGTACAAACGCATGAAGACGGGCTTCCAGCACGCACGTAAGCACGCTCATTCAATCATTTAACCATTCAACCATTCAACCTTTATTTAAACAGAGAAATCACACTGATGTCAGACAGGGGAGTCCTGAAACCTGGTGACAGCGTGTGAAGCTCAGATAAGATGAAGCTCCTGTTATCAGTGGAATTACAGGTGACCTTTGAACTGGACTTTCATTACATATTGACCTCTGCTCCGTTTTTCCTGAAGGTCACATTTACATCTGTTCACATTCACTCATTCAAGCATTAATCAGATGAGGCACAATCCAAACCACAGCAGGTCAGATTCCACCTGACACCAGACAATTAATGATGTTAGGGGGGTAGAAACTGTCAGAGGAGGAAGGTGCGGAGGAGGGATTAAGGTCCCCCGCTAAGATCTCTCACTTCACAGTGATGGTAGGATGAGTTCACTGACCGCTGTGAATGAGAAAGCTTGTAAAAGGTGTTTCCTTTGACATGTCCAGTGGTGGAGGAGGTTTCCAGATATTTTAAAAGTGGTTTAAATGTACTAACTCTCCACCTCTGCAGATTTTTATTTTCTTTTTTTCAGTAATTACAAATCATTTTTTGGATTTCACATTCTTCATTAATTTTTTTGAAGCAGTGATAAATACTCCTATCAGACTGCGTGTGTTTTATTTACCATCTTTTGGCTCCTGGAGTTTAAACAATCCCATATATTTATATTTTTAGCATGTTTAAATTTGACAGGTCCATTTGTTTAAATGTCGTCTTGTTCACTCTGCCTGGTTCAGCTGGACATGAATTGAATGCTGACACAGACTGAGTGTGATCACATATAAAAGTGAGGAGAAGCTCCTGTGATGATTTTTCTGCACAGAAGATCATCACTGTAATGAAGTGAGAGATGATTGTGGTTCTTTGTTATGAGTTCTGCGGCTCAGTGAGACTCACATCAGGAATCTGTGGCCTTATCACATTATCATCATTATACCTGATGAAACCTGCTGCTGCACTTTGTTAGATTTCATTGCACTGTTTTAATTTCACATCTCCATCCTCACTCACTTCATCTCAGGATAATATGATATACTTTAGAGACTCAAGTGTCTGGTTGGATTTAGTGACTTAACAGTGGTCTAACTTTATTCATTCATTTAGAAGGAAGCAGAAATAAAACAACAAAATAAGAAAAAAAATGCAAGTCAGAAGTCCTGTAACTGTGTTGGACACAGCCACAAAGAGACACAACACAACCACTAAGAGACACAACACAGCCACAAAGAGACACAACACAGCCACAAAGAAACACAACACAGCCACAAAGAGACACAACACAACCACAAAGAAACACAACACAACCACAACTAGAAACAACACAGCCACAAAGAGACACAACACAGCCACAAAGAGACACAACACAACCACAAAGAGACACAACACAACCACAAAGAGACACAACACAACCACAACTAGAAACAACACAGCCACAAAGAGACACAACACAACCACAAAGAGACTAAAAATGACTACAAACAAATGTGAAATAATGAAAAAAAAATATCTACAAAGAGACAGAAAACAATGACAAAGACAGGTGAAATTATTACAGAGTGACGCAAAACAACTACAAAGTGTTGGAAATTGACCAAAACATGATAACGAAGAGAAGCAATACAATAACAAAACATCTACAAAAACATGAAACATCTATAAAAAGACACAAAACGACCACAAAATAACTAAAAGCGACACAAACCAGCTACAGACATCGTAGGTTTGTGTTTCTTTCAGTCTGAGGTTCTTGCTCCTATGTAGGAGAGGTGGGGGGGTTTACTGGCCAGGGGCCCATTGTCTGATAATCTCATAAAGTGGAGGAGGAGGAGGAATTATGGGAAATCAAGCCGCGATTCAACATTTTCCTTTCCCCTCCTCAGGATTAAGACCCATCACTTGGTTTAGTGCTTCTCCTCTCAGCAGAGAGTTTCATTCAGTGGCTGCTGGAGGCAAAACGACTCAGAGGTTCCCCAAGTGAAGGTTAAAGACCTCAGATCAGCTGATCACCTTTGTTTGACTCATTACCAAAGAATAACCAGTAACCAGAGTGGCAGGTGAAGCAAAGAGCGCCACTTACAGGAACTCAATATCTAAAGATGATAAGACACCTTCTCATTTTGTTGATGTATTTCTTTTCTCTTTGTGCTTGTTGACACCTCCCTCTGCCCCTGCTCAGGTGCCCCAGAGGCCCCGTCTATGGTTCGTCTGAGCGTGAGCAGTAGCACCACGCTGACCATCACCTTTCAGGAACCACAGTGTCTCAACTCAACCGTGGTCACCAAATACAAAGGTGAGCACACACACACACACACACACACACACACACTATGACATCATACAATAGATTAAATGAACTAAGATTGAAAATATAAAAATAAAATCAACTGAGACATATGAAGATGTTTCATATGAAACTGTTGCTGCCACAGTGGAGGTCATTAATAGCAACATCGGCTCACCCACACGCAAATATAATATATGTACATATATTATATTATATTATATTATATTATATTATTTTATATACATGTATGTAAAAAATTATATATGAAACCTGTTAGAAATTGGAACAATTTCATATATTGACTTATATACATGTATATGCATTATGTATGCTTATATTTTAGACATATGTTAGATAATATATCCATCTGAAAGCCTGTATATATATATATACATATATATATATATGTTGATATTATTATAAGTAGACCCCAAAAAAGACACTTTCTCAGAATGTGAAGTTAGACATATTTAAAATTAATAAGAAATTAATAAGAAAAATATATGAGCGTATAGAATTTTTATATACATGTTGTTTTTAATGAACTTGCATAAATAGATTCAATATATAACATAAATTTACATAGAATGCGTTCTACATAAAATTTCATCACATCGTGATATTTGTAATATATGTACATTGTCATATTTTATTATGGGTATTTCATATATGTTATGAACTTATATCTTCATATATCCAGAGGATGTATATATGTGATAATGACATATCACCTTATAGGTGACATATATGGCAACTATTACATTTCTGTATGGGCAGGTAGACTGCTTGTTCACAGGTGTGTGTTTCACAACAGACAGAAAGAGACAGAGACAATTACAGACGCCTTGAGGACAAAAGCTGAGCAGTGAGAAGGTTGATTTCCTCGTCTGAGGAGGAACTATTGATTTGTAATCAAAAGAGAAGCTGGACGTTCACTGTTGATGCATTGTGGGTACTTAACCACCTCTGTGTGTGTGTGTTTGTGTGTAGCGGAGTGGAGCTGCCTGAAGGATTTCTCTCTGCTCGCTGGAGAGATGGTGTTGGATAATCTGCAGACCCTCAAGTGCACCATCAGTGGCCTCACCACGGTAACGACAGCATCCGTCCTCCTCTGTTTCTCTGTCTCTGCTCAGACTGAAAAAGTCTTCTTACCACAGACTGTAAATAAAGATGGACGTAGCCTCTGTGGCGACACCCACAGGTTTCTGAAGCTCCGTCAACGCCATCTTGGCAGTACCTGACTCCACCCCTAACTCCCAGCTTGTCCAAAAATGGTCAAAGAGGAGGGGCAGGTGTGGGGCCGGTTTGATAACTAAGCTAACAAGACAAGTATGGTGAGCACAGACAGATACCTGCTAATTAATGATAATGTATAAATAAAATAATAGGAGAATTTCTTCCTAATGACACAGAGAGGTTGTGTTTACTGGTTCAATTAGCTGAGGTGACGCTGAGCAGACAGCTAGCCAACTGTGACGGCATCCACCTGTCACTTAAAGAGGCCATACCCTCAATTATGCATAACTTTAAGCCTTAATAAAATGTAAACAGGTGAGTTACAATTGTCATGAAGGAGGAAATTAGTCATAGAGACCAGAACTGTTTTTTGTACCAGGCTGTAAAAATGTTTATTTCTGCTGTAAAGTTGGATATTTTAACATGGGAGTCTATGGGGACTGACTCACTTGTATCTCACTGAGTTCTATCTCTGTATGAGTGAGTTTTAATCCTGGTTTACAGGAGTGTGGATAGGATGATTTGTGATTGGCTCTCCCACTGACAGCAGCTGACAGGACACTTCCTCGTGTCCTGATGTGTGATCCTGTCTTTCCTGATTCTTTGTGACTTTGCCGTTGTGTGTTTGTTGAGTGGCATCAATGACATTTGAAGAGTGTGCAGTGTGGTGGAGGCTGTCAAGCATTATGTATTCTGCTCATCACTGTCTGCCACATAAATGCACTGACTGTGGTGCATCTGCTGTTTGCCATTTAGAGCAGCATGCAGTGTTCAGACACTTCCACATCAACAGCATGTAGAGAAGAAAATGCTGGCTGCCTGAAAGGGCGAAGCACACTGTGGGCCTATAACTAGTCGAGCCAATACATGGACTTCAGCCCTGAGCCAGAATCAACTTCTCAAACTTCATTGTGAACAGTGCTGATTTGCATACTGTATTCATTATGCAACAGTCACTGAGACAGATTTAAAGACCACTGTCAGGAAAGGATCACTAAACAGGCCAGAGCCTCTGTTTGAAGTGAGTCAGTCAGACTCAATCAAAGACACATAAACTGACCACAAAGAGACACAAAAGAGATGAAAATGGCTACACAGAATGATGAAACAGCGACAAAAAGGACAACCACAAATAGACAAAAAACAACCACAAAGAGACTTAAAATAACTACAAAGAGACTCACACCAGCCACAAAGAGACTTAAAACAATCACAAAGAGACTCGCACCAATCACAAAGAGACTTAAAACAATCACAAAGAGACTCACAACAACCACAAAAAGACTCACAACAACCACAAAGACACTCACACCAACCACAGAGACTCACAACAACCACAAAGAGACTAAAGCAACCACAAAGAAACTCAGAACAACCACAAAGAGACTTAAAACAACTACAAAGAGATAAAAAACAACCTCAAAGAGACATAGACTGACCACAAGGAGACACATAAACTGACCACAAAGAGACACAAAACAACTACAAAGAGACAAAAAACAACATCAAAGAGACATAAACTGACCACAGAGACACAAAAGAGATGAAAATGGCTACACAGAATGATGAAACAGCGACAAAAAAGATCAAGACAACCACAAATAGACAAAAAACAACCACAAAGAGACTTAAAATAACCACAAAGAGACTCACACCAGCCACAAAGAGACTTAAAACAATCACAAAGAGACTCACACCAGCCACAAAGAGACTTAAAACAATCACAAAGAGACTCACAACAACCACAAAAAGACTCACAACAACCACAAAGACACTCACACCAACCACAGAGACTCACAACAACCACAAAGACACTCACACCAACCACAGAGACTCACAACAACCACAAAGAGACTAAAGCAACCACAAAGAAACTCAGAACAACCACAAAGAGACTTAAAACAACTACAAAGAGATAAAAAACAACCTCAAAGAGACATAGACTGACCACAAGGAGACACATAAACTGACCACAAAGAGACACAAAACAACTACAAAGAGACAAAAAACAACATCAAAGAGACATAAACTGACCACAGAGACACAAAAGAGATGAAAATGGCTACACAGAATGATGAAACAATGACAAAAAAGCTCAGGAAAACCACAAATAGACAAAAAAACAACCACAAAGAGACTTAAAATAACCACAAAGAGACTTAAAACAACCACAAAGAGACTAACAACAACCACAAAGAGACTCACAACAACCACAAAGAGACTCACAACAACCACAAAGAGACTTAAAACAATCACAAAGAGACTCACACCAACCACAAAACCACTAACAACAACCACAAAGAGACTTAAAACAACCACATAAAGACAAAAAGTAACCACAAAGAGATTTAATTCAACCACACAAAGAGACAAAAAAACATCCACAAAAAGACTTAAAACAACCACAAAAAACAACCACAAAGAGACACAAAACAACCCCAAAGAGACGAAAAAACTACCACAAAGATACACAAAACAACCACAAAGAGACACTCTTTCAGTCTGGGAGTCTTGCTCTGTATTGTGGGGCCTTTCATGTATTTGCCCAGGCGCCCATTGTGTCATGATCCATCCATGAGCACAGGGCATAGCCGAGGTCCAAAGCAGCTTCATTTACGTGGTCCAAACTGTGGTCATGATATGAAACAGGCTGCAGACTGATGACAAACCAGCCTCTCAAGGCTTTGAGTGTTACTGCAGCAGAATAAAACAGTTTAACAGTTTGTGTTGATATGCCTCTTGTGTGTCTCCAGAGTGTCTTTCAGACCCGCACCTTGTTTCATAAGTGTTCCAGCAGTTTGAATAAGCAGTCGATTTACTGTTGTGTAAAAACCACAATAGAAATCTGACAAGATCAGACCTGGAACTTTTCTGTCTACATACTTTGGGTAGTACACTGTAAGTGTACAGAGCTTTTAACAGTTTTGGTTTCATAAGTTTGAGTTCTTTCATCAACTGACTGATGCTGAAGTTTCTCCTGTAAATGCAACTTCATAAAACCAATTAATACATGTCATCAGGATAGAAGAGACAAAGATCTGAAACACTGCAGAAATATTTAAAGCTCCATATTTTCCTCTTCTTCTGTGTTTCATTGGAAGTGTTGATCCAGTGGACTTCCGGTTGTAATGTAGGGAAATGTCGAACAACAGAGGGCTCCCAGGCTACTTTCTGTTGTGTTCTACTTTAACAAAGCTTTTTCTTTGAATCATCGACCTAATTGTTCCAGCTAGATTAAATTTTGACTTTTACGTGCAAAATAAACAATTCCAAGAGTAACAAAGAAGAAGAAGCTATGACAACTACGCTTACTTCCATCGACCAACTGTCTGCAGAATTTGCAAAACAGAGGACCACACTAAGCACTAAAGGAGGATGTTTCTTTCCTGATCCAAGAATCCATTAAACCACTCCAGGCCTCACTGGACTCCCTACAGACAACAGTGAACTCTTTTCAGAACCAACTCACCTATATGGAATCTGTAGCAGGTGAAAACTTTGAACATCTATCAGTAGCGGAGTTCACCATCAGAACACTCCAAACCCAAAACCAATCCCTTTCGGACAAGTTTGGTGACCTCAAAAATCGATCGCAGAGAGCCAATCTTTGTGTATTGAATATTCCTGAAGGCAGCAAAAACAGTAAGGACCCGATTAAGTTCATGTCAGAGATGTTGATACAGGTGAGAAGTTTTATGGCCAGAGGATTGGTAAAGAATAGGAACATGTGCTTCTGCTTTGGACTCTGCAGCTTGGAGACAGTAACATTAAACTATCTGAACTGACTTGAAAATGTGTTTGTTCAACCATCTCTGACTTTATTCTGTCAGCACCTTTTGGACTCTAGGCATGACCACTCTTGCTGACATTATCGCCAATCTAATTTATAAACACTAGCCTACCCATTTTACAAATATAGTCTATTTGTTGCTGCCATATATGTTTTCACACATAGCCTATATTGGCTGTACAGTTTTCGTTTCGCAGCTGTATTGCTCAACTGTTGCCTTTGTACTCAGTACTATTATTTATACCTGAGGGTTATAAGCTTTGAGTATACATTAAGCCATTGGGAGCCTTCTTGGGTAAGTGAGGATGTACTACCAGAAATAGTATCCAGCCTGCAGCTTCCCTCAGTGAGAGGTACAAGTATAGGCCTAGTTTTAGTTCCACTTGTGTTCGGCATGTGGGATAGGTTTATGGGAAGGGACACCTCTAGAACTTCGCTGCTTGTATTTTCTTTTGTTCTTTTGAGAGAAATTATTCATGAGGCCGTGCCCTTTGTTACAACCATTTTGCTTCTTTATTTTTACTCTCACCATTATTATATTCGTTTTGGTTCAACATTATAGAGAGTATTAATGCAGTAAAAAGTGATGTTCAATTCATCAGCCGGAATGTAAAAACTAAACGGGCCTGTAAAGAGAGCTAGGGTATTTAATCATCTTAAATATTTAAAATCTATATTGCATTTCTCCAAGAAACTCACCTGTCGGTGAAAAATCAAATCAGACTTAGAAAATCTTGGGTTTGATGCAACCAGCATCACCTTAGATCCGCAGGATCGATTTGTTGTTTGGGCTCCTTTTCGTTTTGGTCAGTGTTTATGCCCCTAATTGGGACGATGATAAATCATAAAGAATATTATTTCAGTAATACCAGACTTAAACTCACAGCAACTTAATCTCGGCGTATAATAAATCCAATACTGGACCATTCTAATCCTAAATCTACAACTCCTTCAAAAATGGCAGAGTCGCTTTCAGCTTTTATGGATCAAGTTGGGGGTGTAGACCCCTGGCATTCTTTATTTCCACAAAGCTAATCCTTCTCCTTCTTTTCTCCAGTACACCATTCATATAGTAGACTATTTATTATTAATATTATTATTGATAGAACTCTTCTTCCCTGTGTCACAAGAACTGAATCTCTAACTATAATCGAATCAGATCATGCCCCTGTGTTGCTAGATCTTACATTTCCTCCTCAGTTGGAACGCCCTCCTTGGAAACTAAGCAAAACTTTACTGGCTGAAAATGCCTTTTGTGAATTAATATGCAAGAAAATTGATGACTTCATAGAATTTAACAAAAAAGATTATATTTCCTCTTCACTCCTCTGGGAAACATTAAAAGTTGTAATCAGGGGTGAAATCAAGTCATACTCAGCTAGGATTAATGAAATACGGAGACTTAAACAAAAACAGCTCATTAAATCAATAACCACAGTGGATGCTCAATACTCTACCTCCCCCTCTCCAGAACTCTATAAAAGGAAGCTAGATCTCCAAACTCAGTACAACTTGTTATCAACTGATAAGACAGAATGAATTTTGTTAAAGTCACATGGTTATGTCTACGAATACTGGTCGTCTTATGGCACACCAACTTAAGGTCTGATCAGTTCCTCAACAAATCCCAGAAATAATGAAACCAAATGGTGAACTTACTATTGATCCAGGGTAAATCAGTGAAACATTTGCTGCGTATTACTCAAACCTATATACTTCAGAAATAACAAACGACAGAACTGACATGGAACATTTCTTCATCAATCTCCAGGCACCTTCTAGAAATTTGGTACATTCTCTGCGTACAAACTTAACTTTAGTAAAAGTGAATGTTACCCTGTTAACAACCTAGCTCTTCAAATACAGGATATTGCTTTACCATTCCAAATGTGTAGGAATGGCTTCAAATACTTGGGCATCAATATTACAAGAGATATGCAGAGTCTTTTTCAGGAAAACTTCTCTCCTCTATTTGAGGAAGTTAAAATGTATTTAAAGAAATGGAAAACACTTCACCTGTCCCTAGCAGGAAGGGTGAACTGTATTAAAATGAATGTGCTCCCCGTATTCCTGTATTTGTTTCAACATATCCCATCCTTCCTAATTCTTACTTCAAATCTATCGGCAAAGCTTTCTCTACATTCATATGGAATGGCTTAGCTCTACCAAATCATTGCTACTATTATTGGGCTGCAAATATAAAAAAGATCATACATTGTCTTCATACTACCGATACAAACTGGTGCCACTTAGAAGCCGTATCTTGTATTTTAACATACCTGACGGCTTTGGTCACTTCCTGTCTTCCCCTTTCTATCTCACACTTTACTAACAATCCAGTCGTCATCAACACCCTTAGGATATGGTTTCAGTTTAGACAGAACTTTGGGATTAAGACTTTTCTTAACTTAACAACCTATATGTAATAATCACCTTTTTCCCCCAGCTAGACTAGACCCAGCATTTTCTCTCTGGCAAAGACATGGGATTTCTACATTTTAAGACATGTACATAGAACATCTATGTTTTTGCAAGTTTTGATGATCTGTCACACAAATTTGACCTTCCTCGGTCCAGCTTATTTTGCTATTTTCAAGTCCGCCACTTCCTTCAGTGCCATGATCCTAACTTTCCAAACATACTCTCAGTTTCAGATTTAGATGAGATTCCCTTTAATTCAAAGGGCTAGTTTCAAGAATAAATGACCTTATAGCTTCTCTTAAAAATATAACCCTCACAAAGATTATGGCAGACTGGGTGGGCGAGCTGGGGGAGGACATAGGAGAGGACATTTGGGACTGTGCTCTCCAAAGGGCCAGCAAATGACAGCACCAATCAGAAGAGAGGAGGTTCTGAGCCTCTCTTCTGAGTCATCCAATAAAATATAGCAGATTTCAGGAAAACACTCAGAGAAACCAAATCCTGCACAGTTGGATGGTGGGTCCAGGTGGGGCATGGCTTAGAGAGGTGACTGCTTTGTTGTGCTATCACAAAGTTCCAGAAGTCCTGACGGCTGGTTTTAAGGCTCAGTTTCTGAATACAGGCTGTGTGCATTTCTGTGTGGACTGAGCGCTTTGATACTTTCATAGTATTAATATAGAACCTAGACCTGCTTTATAATAAACAACACATGGACATCTACCTTTATACAATATGGACCTTTAAGAAAATCTGCTTCCCTCCTTTTATTTTGCATCAGTCAGTTTCTCTCTTCGTCTTCTCAGTACAAACCTCTGAAATGGTGTGTTTTATTGATATTATCTTTTTACATTTCAGGGTCGGCTCTACTACGTTCGAGTGTCTGCCTATAACATGAAGGGCTGGGGTCCACCTGCCTCCTCCCTCCCTCCATCTGCTGCTCCTTCCAGTGAGTTGCTTGTTTTTCCTCCTCTTCTTCACTAACTCTTCCTCATACTTAAAGCCGTCACTGTTGTAAACATTTGCTGCATTAATTAGATAAGAAAAAAATGTTTTCTGCCTCCATGAATCGGCTCGTATTCCAGTATCTTTCTCTACACCTTTGACTCTCAACCTTTTTGGCTTCTGACCTTTTAAAGTGAAGCAGCGTCTCCTCACAGCCCCAGTCAACACTTATCACTCATTTATTTAGAATTGTATACTTTGTACTCCATATATTTTTTTTGTGCAAATTTCAAATGCACATAGACACAGAGGAGATCCAGACAGTCAGCGATCTTGTCCTACCTGAGCCCTGATGGTTCAGGTGACGAATTAGACTTCAACTTCAACTTCACCTTTATTATTATTATCTCGAAGGAAATTTTGTTTGCAGCAGGCATCATGAACACATCAAAGACATTCAAAATACATTGACAATAGTAACATCACATACAGAATGCAATAATTCCGGGAGTGGTCAGCTCAATTAAAGAATGGCGACATTCCTACCACCTTAAACCAACAATATCTGAATGGCAAGCAATACTGTAAGCTGGGCTTGCTGCACCCCGTTCACCTTACCAGCCACTTTAACAAGCTTTGACAGTCTATTTTTACTGGACAGAGTAAGGAAACCAAACCAAGCCACAAACCAATAAGGGAGAGCAGATTCAATGAATCATTGATAGAACAAGGACATGAGAACATTGGACACTTTAAATGAGTTCAGTTTGCTTAAAAAAAAAAGAAGCGCTGCTGGACCTTTTTGCAGACAGCATCAGTGTTGGATTCGAAGTCTTAGTTTGTTATCAGTATAACTCCTAAGTATTTATACTCTGGTACAATCTCATCCTCTTTATCCTGGGTGATAGTAAGAGTTATAGTGCTTGGTTGGGATTTTCTAAAATCAACAATCATGTCCTTAGTCTTTGACACGTTTATTGACAGTAAAGAATCCATACACCAGGTTTCAAAATCATCAACCACAGGACCGTGCTCATTCTCCTTATCATGACAGGTTAGAGTGGATCTGGTCGTCAGTAGTAAACACTGAGTCAGCTGTGAATAATCTGAACGTTCCGTGCTGCGTTCAGGGCCTCAGGTCGGGAACATTGGTTTCATCTCTCCGTCACGACTCTCTTTTTCTCTGCTCACACGAGTGCTTCAGCCTTGAGCTGTGCATTTGTGTGGTTTGTGCCTGTTTCACAAATTTTGTCTGGCTTTGTGTGTGTGTTTGTGTGTTTGTGTGTTTGTGTGTGTGTGTGTGTGTGTGTGTGTGTGTGTGTGTGTGTGTGTGTGTGTGTGTGTGTGTGTGTGTGTGTGTGTGTGTGTGTGTGTGTGTGTGTGTGTGTACGCATATGTCAGAAGCAGAGAAGGACAGAGTGTGTGGGTGTTAGCTTTTAAAAAGGCTGAGAGAGAGAACAGAGAGTCAGAGCACGACTACAGCTCTAACACGCTTTCAGTGTGACATCATCATGTCCTCAGCCAATCAGAAGAGGAGTGTCTCAGTGTCTGTCCTCTCAGTGTCTCTCCTCTCAGTGTCTGTACTCTCAGTGTCTGTCCTCTCAGTGTCTGTCCTCTTAGTGTCTGTACTCTTAGTGTCTGTCCTGTCTGTCCTCTCAGTGTCTGTCCTCTTAGTGTCTGTCCTGTCTGTCCTCTCAGTGTCTCTCCTCTCAGTGTCTGTACTCTCAGTGTCTGTCCTCTCAGTGTCTCTCCTCTCAGTGTCTGTACTCTCAGTGTCTGTCCTCTCAGTGTCTCTCCTCTCAGTGTCTGTACTCTTAGTGTCTGTCCTGTCTGTCCTCTCAGTGTCTGTACTCTTAGTGTCTGTCCTGTCTGTCCTCTCAGTGTCTGTCCTCTGGTTGTCTTCTCAGATTGGAGGGAGAGTGATGGTCGGGAGCCCAGGAGGCGGGGCCACATCGAGGCCATGGAGCGTCTGCTGCAGCAGGTCCGAGCCACCCACACACACTACTGCTGCGGAGGTGAGTGTCTCTAAATGTCTTCCACCTCAGTGTGTCTCCAGGTGTTTGCTGCAGATGTAAAAACAGTGGTGTGAAGCCTTAAGTGTCTCTAAAGTCAGAAATCTGAGAGTTTTTTGAGTTTGATTTTGTGAGATTTTTTTTCACGTGGCCATAATCCTCTTCCATAACATACCACCACGAGAACGTAATTCTGTGTAACCAGGTTGTTTTGAACCTAAACTGAACTGAACCGTGTCATTCAACTCTTTCCTTAGTCTCATAGAAACAGACTTGAAATAAAAATAATTAATACACAACACATAACAACTCATGAGGGACAGCAGAACTTCATCACCTCACCCGGTCATGTACGGTTAAACCAAGAGCAGCCACCAGTGTGATACGGAATCTATATATAATCATAGATACATTATATATTATATGGAAACTGATCATAAGCTGAGTCGTATAATTTGTTGTAGACTTTCTGAAGCCACTCCAGTCCTTGAAGCAGTCTCTTTCAGTCTTATAGAAGTGTCATCAGTTTTCCTCACCTATAGATCGATGGCGTATTTTATCATTTAAGTTGGAGCCTCGTTAGAAACACTCCTCCATCTTTAACTGCAGCTGAAGCAGCAGCGTTCACACACAGAGCTGGAGTGATAAAAGCATCGACCCTCCACTCTTAGCTTCACTTTCACTGTTTTCTTTGCACAAGCGGTCGAGAGCAGAATAAAGAATAAAGAATAAAGAGTTATAACCCATACGCGAATTCAATATATGTACATATATTGAATTTCCATATATGAAATATTCATTTTTATTTTATATGGGTATAACTTTACAATAACACTACCCTTATAAAGGATTTATGAATGGTTTATAATGAGGATATTAATTCAGTTATTAATTAACACTTTATAAATCATAAATAAACAATTATAAACAAGTTATAACATGACATTATTCTGTAGGGTTCCTTCACAAACTTGAGAATGAATTTTTCCCCTGATGATGTGGAGCTGTCAAATCAGTCCCAGATCACGATGCTCCCTCCACCCTGCTTCACCTTTGGGAGGATGACGTTGGGATGTAGAATGCAGAGCCCTTTTTACACCAAACATAGTGCTGAGGGGTTTTCCCAAACAATTTAACCTTAGACTCATCAGTCCACAAAACCTCTCCCCAGTGGTGTCGTGGAGAGTCACGCTGCTCTTTATAAACTTCATGGGCACAACAAGGTTTTTTTTTCCCTCCATGGACACCATGCACCATGCAAACATGCACCATGATGTGTGTGTGGTGGACTCATGAACAGAGATGTTACCCAGCCCAAGTGATTCCTTTAAGCCGTTAGCTGTAACTCTGAGCTTCTTTGTTAATGTTACTGATCATCTGTGTTGACCTGTTGGAGTCATCTCAGCTGGATCAGTCACAGAACTCAATCAGCTCCGTTTATAGACAGTTTGTGTGACTGTGGACTGATGGAGATCTAAACTCTGTGACCCTTCCAGCTTCATGCTAATCAGCATTTCTTGATCATAAGTCTTCTGAGTGCTCTTTGTGAGGCCTGGTTCACATCAGCAGATGCTTCTTGTGAACAGCAAACTCTAAATATTTGAGTGTTTTTATAAGCCAAAGAGTCTCTAACAGCTTTGATAACTCCTAGCCGAGGGATTCACATACTTTTCCAATCTACACTGTGATAGTTTGAATGAAGTTTTCAACATGCACAAGAGCAAAACAATGATTTGTGTGTTATTAGTTAAAATAGATTGTGTTTGAGATTGTAACTTGAACGAAGATCTGACCATATTTAAGGATAGCATATAGATTTTTTAACAGGTATGTTGTTTTAATAAACTTGCATAAATAAATTAAATATGTAATGTTAACACAAAACATATGTGTTCTATGTAAAAAGTCATCGCATAGATATTTGTAATGTATATATGCATATAAATATTGCACTTTGGGTATTTTATATATGTTATAAACGTATATCTTCATATATTCAGAGGATGTATCTATGTGATAATAATATATCACATTATAGGTGACAGCTATGTCAACATCACTCTGATATAGGGACATATACACTATGTCATATATTTCTGCATGGGAACAGCATTAATGAAAGGTGAGAACACATGAGCAGCTCAGACGCAACTGAAAGCTCAATAACCCCCCCACCACCACCACCACCACCACCACCACCCACCCCCCACCCCCCGTCATGATGGAAAGGTGGTTGCCTCATTAATCAGCTCCAATCATGTTTTCAGCTCACTCCAACCAAAACTCATTTCTTTATTTATCCAGAGTGGCGTGCGGCGCTGCACAGTAAGCCGGCGAGCTCTTGTCATATTATCCACTTGTCAAACCCAGTTAGCCTCCAGCGCTGCAAACACACAGAGACTTTTTAAAGCAGGAGAGCGCCGGTGGCAGCCTCAACCTGTCACTGAAATAACAGCTCCTGTGTGTGTGTGTGTGTGTGTGTGTGTGTGTG